GGCTGGTGGGAACACAAACAGCCTTACACAGACTTTGAGAGTTGTTCTACTTTCTCCGGCTTGGGGTCATTTAATCACATATGTGTGTTCATTAGTGCTCAGTTGAATGCATATTTAATTGTAGCCCTGTTCGCCTGTCCAGAGAACATTTGCCGTCTATACAGTTCTTTCTGTTACTTCACCCTGTGAATTCTAGCCACCCTGGTCTCTCCGAAGTCTCCACTCTGTAACTCAGGGAGACTGCCACACCCTGCTTGGGTTTTCCCTACCTGCACTGTGGCTTAAAATATTCTCCAGGCAGTCAGCTGGGACAGACATAGAGCTCACCTACTTTTCATCGCTTGGGACCGACGTCCTGCACTTCCTGTTGCCCAGTGTCTGAAAACAGTGTTTCATGTATTTTGTGGGGTTTTTTATTCATTTAAGGAAGAGGGTGAATCTAGACCCTGTTACTCCATCTTGGCTGGCAGTGGAAGTAATTGGATCAGTGGGCAGAGATGTCAAACCAAAAAGGAGGTGAGGTGGGTGGGAAAGATCGTCAAACCTTCCCCCAAGCACAAATAAGAAATCGAAACTATGAACACATATTTTAAATGTAACTTTATACTCTGAAAGTCTGAGTCATGGCTTATTTTTATTTATTTATTTTTGTTTTGTTGATATTTTTCCTTTTTGAGTTGGCGTCTCAGTCTGTCGTGGAGGTTAGAGTGCAGTGGCACACTCATGGCCACCCTAGTGTTGCCCTGCTGGGCTCCAGCCATCCTTCCACGTCATCCTTCCAAGTAGGCGGACCCACAGGCGTGTATTACCATGCCTAGTTAATTTTTTAATTTATTGTAGGCTGGGCTTGGTGGCTCAGCCAGTAATTCCGCGCCTTGGGAGGCTAAGGTGAGGGGTTACCTGAGCCCGCGGGTTCGAGACCTGCCTGGGCAACTTGGTGAGACCTCATCTCTACAATAAATAAAAAAATTAACCGGGTGTGGTAGCGCGCACCTATAGTTCCAGCTATATGGAAGGCTGAGGCGGAAGGATCGCCGGAGCCCACCAGGTTGAGGCTGTGGTGGCCGGGAGCGGCCACTGCCCTCCAGTCTGGGCGACAGAATGAGACTCCAACTCAAAAAAAAAAAAAAAAAAAAA